GAGGGAGGAGGGTCAGAGGGAGAAGCAGACTCCCCGCCAAGCAGGGAGCCCGATGCGGGACTCGAATCCAGGACTCCAGGATCATGACCTGAGCCGAAAGGCAGTCGCTTAACCAACTGAGCCACCCAGGCGCCCTGGAAACACCTTTTCAGTCCAACAATTACTCATCTATTTTAATGTGCTCTGGGAAAACAAGCAAGTAGCCCATCACTCTGAAGATATGCGGAGACTTAAAAAAAAAAGAATCGACTCAGGTATCTGACCAAGAGAAATAAAGGCAAACATCCAGGCAAAAATGTGTGCACAGGGGCGCCAGGGTGGCTCAGTCGGTTAAGCATCTGCCTTGGGCTCAGGTCATGACCCCAGGATCCAGGGATCGAGCCCCATGTTGGCCTCCCTGCTTAGCAGGGAGTCTGCTTCTCCCTCTCCCTCTGCCGCTCCCCCCGCTTGTGCGTGCTCTCTCTCTCAAATAAATGAAAAATAAAATAAAAGTGTGCACAAATGATCATTGCGACCAAAATATTCACCAACAGACAAGTAGAAACAACCCAAATGTCCACCATCAGCAGACAAGTGGATACACAAAATGTGGTATGTCCATACAGTGTGCTATCACATGGCCAGGGCCATCGGGAATGAAGCCCTGATACACGCTACAATGTGGCTGAACCTCAAAAAACATCATGCAGAGCTGAAGAAGCCAGACACAAAAGGCCACACAGCGTATGATCCCATTTACAGGAAATGTTTAGGACAAGCAAATCCACAGAGACAAAAAGCAGATTAGTACTTGCCAGGGACTGAGAAAAGGGGATGGGGACTGCTAATGGGGTTTCCTTCTGGGGTGATGGAATGTTCTGGAACTACATTGAGGTGGTGGTTTACGACGCTGTGAATGTACTAAATACCCCTGAGTTGTATGCATTAAAAGGCTGAACTGTAAAGGCGCCTGGCTGGCTCAGTCAGAAGAGCATGCGACTCTTGATCTCAGGATCGTGAATTCAAGCCCCATGTTGGGTGTAGAGATTACTTAAATAAAAGAGTAAGAACTTCAAAAGAAAAAAAAAAAAAGGTTGAACTGTATGTGATGTGAATTATAGCTGAATAAAAAAGAGAAAGAGAACAGAACATACCGACACGCTGTATCATGAACGGCAAAAGTCGTTTAGGGAATAACGTGTGTTATGTGGTCCTATCTGTGTTTTTTTTGTTTTTGTTTTTTTAAGGTTTTTTATTTCTTTATCTGACAGAGAGCACAAGCAGGGGGAACAGCAGGCAGAGGGAGAGGGAGAAGCAGACTCTGCTGAGCAAGGAGCCCGATGCAGGGCTTGATCCCAGGACCCTGGGATCATGACCTGAGCCGAAGGCAGATGCTTAACGGACTGAGCCACCCAGGCACCCCAATCCCATCTGTGTTTTTAAAAAATCACATTCGTGTTTCTACACATATGTTAAGCCTGGATGTGCAAGGTGCCTGGCTGGCTCAGTTGGTGGAGCACGCAACTCTTGATCTTCACTCTGTGAGTTCAAGCCCCATGTTGGGCATGGACCTTACTTAAAAAAAAAAAAAGAAAAAGTCTGAACCAGCATGTATCAAAGATATCGTTAATTTGTTGGCAAGAGTAACGAAGAGGAGTTTCTAGTTTCTAAGTACCTCTAGTGTTTGACGTTTTTAATAAGCCTGTATTACTTTTAGAAGCAGCAGAACTAAGAGCAGGTCCTGACACGCGTAGGAGGGAGAAGAGAGTAAGCTGCTGTCTTGTGGGCA